AGTTAGTGCATGGGCTCAAGATAGTCCTGGCTTGTGCTCAGATCCAAAACCTAAGAGTGCAAAAAACTATGGTATCGTATGTGTTCCTTTTTCCAGTACTTGAGCATTTTCCTACGAGACCTCAACTTGGTTATCGTGCTATTGAGCGTGCTCAAACATCTTACTTTTTGCATGCATGGTTAGTGAATGGGCTCAAGAGCATGCTGGCTTGTGCTCAGATTCAAAACCCAGGTGTGTGGGAAGTTTTGGTATCTCAAGCGTTGTCGCATGTCCAAGTTCTTGAGTGGTACCACACCAAACAACAACCTGTTTTTTCTCTAAGGTTCTTTGTTCACTAAATCTCTTTCCTTTTGCATACATAGCTAGTGTATGGCCTCAAGACCATCATGGCTTGTGCCTGTTCCAAAATCCTAGTGGTTGGGAATTTAGAGCATGTCAACTATTGTCCCATGTCTAAACACTTGAGCGTTTCCCAACAAAACCTCAACTTTCCATTTTGTTTTTCAGATACTGAGCAATTTCTAAGCCCTTGTTTTGCATGATCAGTTAGTGCATGGGCTCAAGATAGTCCTGGCTTGTGCTCAGATCCAAAACCTAAGAGTGCAAAAAACTATGGTATCGTATGTGTTCCTTTTTCCAGTACTTGAGCATTTTCCTACGAGACCTCGACTTGGTTATCGTGCTATTGAGCGTGCTCAAACATCTTACTTTTTGCATGCATGGTTAGTGAATGGGCTCAAGAGCATGCTGGCTTGTGCTCAGATTCAAAACCCAGGTGTGGGAAGTTTTGGTATCTCAAGCGTTGTCGCATGTCCAAGTTCTTGAGTGGTACCACACCAAACAACAACCTGTTTTTTCTCTAAGGTTCTTTGTTCAGTAAAACTCTTTCCTTTTGCATACATAGCTAGTGTATGGCCTCAAGACCATCATGGCTTGTGCCTGGTTCCAAAATCCTAGTGGTTGGGAATTTAGAGCATGTCAACTATTGTCCCATGTCTAAACACTTGAGCATTTCCCAACAAAACCTCAACTTTCCATTTTGTTTTTCAGATACTGAGCAATTTCTAAGCCCTTGTTTTGCATGATCAGTTAGTGCATGGGCTCAAGATAGTCCTGGCTTGTGCTCAGATCCAAAACCTAAGAGTGCAAAAAACTATGGTATCGTATGTGTTCCTTTTTCCAGTACTTGAGCATTTTCCTACGAGACCTCAACTTGGTTATCGTGCTATTGAGCGTGCTCAAACATCTTACTTTTTGCATGCATGGTTAGTGAATGGGCTCAAGAGCATGCTGGCTTGTGCTCAGATTCAAAACCCAGGTGTGTGGGAAGTTTTGGTATCTCAAGCGTTGTCGCATGTCCAAGTTCTTGAGTGGTACCACACCAAACAACAACCTGTTTTTTCTCTAAGGTTCTTTGTTCACTAAATCTCTTTCCTTTTGCATACATAGCTAGTGTATGGCCTCAAGACCATCATGGCTTGTGCCTGGTTCCAAAATCCTAGTGGTTGGGAATTTAGAGCATGTCAACTATTGTCCCATGTCTAAACACTTGAGCGTTTCCCAACAAAACCTCAACTTTCCATTTTGTTTTTCAGATACTGAGCAATTTCTAAGCCCTTGTTTTGCATGATCAGTTAGTGCATGGGCTCAAGATAGTCCTGGCTTGTGCTCAGATCCAAAACCTAAGAGTGCAAAAAACTATGGTATCGTATGTGTTCCTTTTTCCAGTACTTGAGCATTTTCCTACGATACCTCGACTTGGTTATCGTGCTATTGAGCGTGCTCAAACATCTTACTTTTTGCATGCATGGTTAGTGAATGGGCTCAAGAGCATGCTGGCTTGTGCTCAGATTCAAAACCCAGGTGTGTGGGAAGTTTTGGTATCTCAAGCGTTGTCGCATGTCCAAGTTCTTGAGTGGTACCACACCAAACAACAACCTGTTTTTTCTCTAAGGTTCTTTGTTCACTAAATCTCTTTCCTTTTGCATACATAGCTAGTGTATGGCCTCAAGACCATCATGGCTTGTGCCTGGTTCCAAAATCCTAGTGGTTGGGAATTTAGAGCATGTCAACTATTGTCCCATGTCTAAACACTTGAGCGTTTCCCAACAAAACCTCAACTTTCCATTTTGTTTTTCAGATACTGAGCAATTTCTAAGCCCTTGTTTTGCATGATCAGTTAGTGCATGGGCTCAAGATAGTCCTGGCTTGTGCTCAGATCCAAAACCTAAGAGTGCAAAAAACTATGGTATCGTATGTGTTCCTTTTTCCAGTACTTGAGCATTTTCCTACGAGACCTCAACTTGGTTATCGTGCTATTGACCGTGCTCAAACATCTTACCTTTTGCATGCATCAGAGTGAATGGACTCAAGAGCATGCTGGCTTGTGCTCAGATTCAAAACCCAGGTGTGTGGGAAGTTTTGGTATCTCAAGCGTTGTCGCATGTCCAAGTTCTTGAGTGGTACCACACCAAACAACAACCTGTTTTTTCTCTAAGTTCTTTGTTCACTAAATCTCTTTCCTTTTGCATACATAGCTAGTGTATGGCCTCAAGACCATCATGGCTTGTGCCTGGTTCCAAAATCCTAGTGGTTGGGAATTTAGAGCATGTCAACTATTGTCCCATGTCTAAACACTTGAGCGTTTCCCAACAAAACCTCAACTTTCCATTTTGTTTTTCAGATACTGAGCATTTCTTGTTGTGTGATGTCATCATATGCTATCACATTCTGTCTGCCTCCCATCCCATATTTTTTCAACTTGCATGTGTGGTTTGAACGTGTGCAAGAATTTGTGTGTGATGTGTTCTGGAGTTTGGGAATGTGTTTTGTGTTATTTTGTTTGAGCAGGTTTTTGTGATGATAGATCTTGAGAAGATCTTTCCGACGCAACGAGAATCCCTTCAATCGGAGCAAGAACGCGAAAGCTATGAAGATTCAAAGTTCATGAGCTTGCGTTACAATTGCGGCGGTTACAAAGTGAAGTTGTGGGGTGACTCTATATGGAGTTGGGACCTTTGGGGTTGGGAAATTTGTCACTCACTGTAACAGCTGCAAATTGGTTGGGAACAACCAAGCTAGGTTGGCAAGGGTGGCCAACTTGGATGGATTGGTTGGGAAGGGACAAATGTCAAAGTTGGGGTTCCTATAGGGAGGGAATCTTTGTGCTTATGGGGTTTCCTTGGTTGGGGACTCTCTTGGGACCTTCCCTCTCATCCCTCTCTTCCTATCCCAACCTTTCTCTTGCTCCTTCTAATTCCTTGTGAGATTCTTGAACTTTGATTGAACTCTTGAGATTGAGTTAAGTTCTCCTCCTACAGCTTACCCCCTAGTGCGTCGAAAGCCATAGCGTCGCGAATACTTCATCAATCAACGTGATTCAAATTGGGAACGGTAGCTGAGATCAAGAGCTACAACATATCCAAGTTTCGCGACATTCCAACGGCTAGTGTTTTGTCGACGTCGTTTCTTGTGAAGACGACTTTTCTGTCCAGAATTTCGGATTTATATTTTGAGTAATTCTAGCTCCTAAGTTCACCTAGACTCTGTCCTTAATCCTAACAAGTGGTATCAGAGCTGTATTAAGGACGTTGAGAGGAGTCTACAGAAGTGTGAAGACCCTTCTAGACCCACCATGGCCTGTGGGTGTGCCTAAGTGGTGTTCTAAAGGTTGGATGTGTCTTCCGCTAAGGGAAACTCTGCCGAAATTTCGTGGACGCCGACACTTGTGAAAATATCGAGGGAGCTGAGTGTGGACAGCAAAGGGGGCTGAAATTCGTCATTTCTCAAGGAGAAGATGAATGAGAGAGGAGGAGATGCTAATGGAAGAGGAGCTGTAGCTGAGAAGACAAGTGAGCCGCCGCCATCAAAAGTTGAAGCTTTGGATGGCTCCAACTATGAGGAATGGAGCGGACGGATGAGGAGTGCCTTCAAACGCTACAAGCTACTGAAGATTGCTGTTGGGGAAGAGAAGATGCCGGAAGAAGGCGAAGCACGTGAACGGTGGATTGAGAAAAGCACGGTGCTTTTCGACCTCATCCTTCAATCGGTCAACAAGGAGATGTTCGAGCACATCAAGGATCTTGTGGAAGCGGATGATTCGGGTCCAAGGGCGTGGAAACTACTACGCGATGTGATTCAGCCCAACACTCTCCTGATGGTGATCGTGCTCGAGAAGGAACTTGCTGCCATCTCCATGCGACCAGGGGACGATGTGAAGCCGGTCCTTGACAAGATCAAGGACACCTATGCAAGGATGGCAGCAGCGGGCAGCAGTGTATCTCAGCTGCAGCAGTGCACCAAGATCATCTCGGTGTTGGACAACTCTTGGGACAACCTCATCCCCACCCTCAACTCTCAGCAAGATCAATGGACACCTGAGTGGCTAAGGCAGCAGATTCTGCAGGAGGACTTCCGCAGACGCCATGTGGGAGGCGGTGCTGCCACTAAGACTGCTGAGGGGTATGGAGCTGCAGGGCGCGCAGAGGAAGAGGGGGTTGGAGAGGCCGAGGCCGTGGGAGAGCTTTGGCAGAGGTAGAGGCCGAGGTGACTATAATGAGGGGCATGGGAGCTCCAGTGGCAGGGGGAGTACCAGAATGGAGGGCACCTGCTGGTACTGCAAGAAGGTCGGGCATCCTTGGTTCAAGTGCTTCAGCAGGCTGGAGGGATGGTCACCTCCAGGCATGAAGCCGCCAAGTGGTGAACGCGCACAAGGTGGCGCTGTGCAAGGCTCAGGTGCACAAGGTGAAGGTGCACAAGGTAACGCCTATCCTGGGATGTATCTCATGGTTGAGGATGTGCATGGGCATGAGGGTGATGTGGGATCTGTGGGAAAGGTTGTGATGCACCCTCTCACGCACTGGGTGATTGATTCGGGTTGCACCAGTCACATGACTCCACGGGCAGATTTGCTTGATGAGGTAAAACCCCCTGGGAAGATTAAGTATGTGGCAGCAGCGTCAGGTGCTTTGCTCCCCGTGATTGGTGTTGGGAATGCCAAGGTTAAGGGAGCTAATGGGGAGCTTGTGGGGCTTGGGAATGTTCTGCTGGTTAAAGGCTTGTCTGCTAACCTTCTCTCTGTGCGACGACTGCAGAAGAGTAAGGCCGAAGTGACCTTTGGACCAACCAGCTGCCGTGCTAAGCTTGGGAAGAAGGTGCTGTGGAGTCTGGAAGAGGAGACCAGCTGCATCAAGGACCTGTGGCAGCTGCCCATCATCCCATGGAATGGGAAGACTCCAACAGCAGCAACGGCAGCAGCGGCAAAGGCAACAGCAGGAGGAGATGCAACTGCACCAACTGATGGGGTCCTGGAAGCAGTCAAGAAAGTGCAGCAGCAGCAGACACATGGTGAGGTGCTTGCTGGTGTGGATGCAAGTGCGGCATGGGCTAAGGCTTCACCAAGGAGTGGAGAGGCCGATTGGGAGACATGGCATGAGAGGCTGTGTCATGTGAACTTCCCTATGCTGCAGAAGTTGGTGAAGGATGGGAGCCTGAAGGGCTTGGAGGTGAAAGGGGGAGTGAAGGAGATTGGGAGCTGCCCTACATGCTTGGAGACCAAGTTCTCCAAGTTCCCCTTCAACAGCACTACAGGACCAGCCAAGACCCCACTTGCACTTGTGCACATGGATGTGGTGGGGCCCACAAGAGCCCCTTCCCTCTCAGGCAGCCGCTATTTCTTGACAATTGTGGATGACCACACTCGGGCAGTGTGGGTTTACCCTTTGAAGAGCAAGGGGGAGGTGGCAGCGGCTGTCCTTAAGGAGTGGATGCCGAGAGCTCAGAGGGAATGCGGACACAAGGTGAAGGTGATCCGTAGTGACAATGGTGGGGAGTTCATTGGAGCTGATTTTGAGGGGGAGTTGAAGAGGAAGGGGATCCAGCATCAACTGACAGTGCCCTACAACCCGCAGCAGAATGGCGTGGCTGAGAGGTTCAACAGGACCCTGCAGGAGGGGGCACGCACTCTCCTTGGGCGTGCAGGGCTACCTGATCCGTTTTGGGTGTCTGCACTGAGGCAGGTCGCCCTTGTGAAGAATAGGGTGCTGGCTACAGTTGGGGATAAGGAGTGGATCCCATATACCAAGTGGTATGGGAGTGCTCCAGCTGTGAATATGCTGAGGGCATTTGGGTGCATGGTAGTGTTTCATGTGCCTAAGGAGAAAAGAGGGAAGTTGGAGGCTTCTGGAAGATGGGGTGTGCACTTGGGGATTGCAAAGGATCACAAGGGATGGCTGCTATGGGACTTGACCACCCAGAAGCTGACAGTGTCAAGGGATGTGAAGTTTCTTGAGTCCCTGTACTATAAGGAATGGAAGCAGCAGCAACAGAAGCTTCCATCTACACCACTCATTGTGGAGGCAGATGAGTTGCAGCAGCCTTCAAGACAGGTGGAGGTTGCAGTGTCAGAGGAGGAGATGTCTGGGGTGACTGAGGAAGGGGGAGCAGCTGAAGTGGCAGCAGCAGCAGCAACATGAGTCTCCACCTCGAGTTCCACACCCGCCTGAGCGTCCTAGGAGGGATGTGCGCCCTCCAGTGAGGCTGACCTATGGGGGAAGAGGCAAGCCAAATGTGGTGCAGGCTGGGAGTGTGGTTGAGCAGATTGAGGAAGATGAGATCGCTCACTGCTACTGGGCACCAATCCCTGAGCCCAAGACTCGAGAAGAGGCCTTGAATGGACCAAATGGGGAGAAGTGGAAGGCGAGTGAGGATGAGGAGTTCGGGTCCCTAATTGAGAACGAGACATGGGACCTGTGTGACTTGCCTCCTGGAAAGAAGGCAATCACTTCCAAGATGATCTACAGGCACAAGTATGGACCTGAAGGGGAGCTGACCCGCTACAAGTCTAGGCTTGTGGCACGGGGGTTTCAGCAGACAAAGGGGAAGGACTATGATGAGGTGTTTGCTCCTGTGGGGAAAGGAACAACACTGAGGGTGCTGTTGGCGATAGCTGCACTCCTGGGATGGAAGATTCGGCAGATGGATATTGTGACTGCCTTTCTGAATGGGATCATTATGGAGGAGGTGTACATGAAGCAGCCAGAGGGGCTGGATGACGGGAGCGGCAGGGTCTGCAGGCTGAAGAAGGCCATCTATGGCCTTAAGCAGGCGCCTCGTGCATGGTATCACAAGTTGGAGGAGGCGCTGTTGGCTGGGGGTTTCAAGAAGAGTGAGTGTGACCCCAGCCTGTTCCTGCTGCAGGAGAAGGATGAAATCCTCATGCTCTTGGTGTATGTGGATGATATCCTTCTCTTTTCTGCATCCACTGCTTTGCTGGACAGCGCAGAGCAGATGCTGGAGATGCAGTTCAAGTGCTCCAAGATGGGTGAGGTGAAGTACTACTTGGGGATGCACGTGGAGAGAGATGTGGAAAAGGGTGTGCTGAGGTTGCACCAGAGGAAGTACTGTGAGGGGCTGGCTGAGAAGTATGGGCTGCAAGATGGGGGAAAGCCAGCAACACCACTACCTTCAGGGTTTACTGTGGAGCCATGTGCTGATGAGGAGGTAGTGGGTGATAGTGACAGGAAGCTGTTTCATTCGATGGTTGGGTCGCTGAATTATGCTGCAAATCATACACGGCCTGACATTGCATTTGCTACATCACGATTGGCTAGTGTGGTCTCACGCCCTAGTCATGAGCAGCTGGAAGCGGCCAAGAGGTTGGTCCGCTATGTGAGCGCTACGGCATCAGTGGGATTGGAGTACAGTGGAGTGAGGCAGCGGTTGCAGAGAGGTGCTGCAGATGTGAAGAGTGGAGAGATGCTCTTGAGTTGCTATACTGACGCTAGCTTCAACTCAGTGAAAGCGGATGGCACCAGCATTGGGGGTTATGTGTGCTTGCTAGGAGGTGGTGCTGTGAGCTGGCGCAGCAAGAAGCAGAATGAGGTGGGATTGTCCTCATGTGAGACTGAGTACATGGCCTTACACCATGGGGCCAAGGAAGTAGTGTGGCTAAGGCGTTTGTTGGAGGAGTTGGGAGTTGGTCAGGAGAAGCCGACAGTTGTGTTTTGTGACAATGAGTCCGCTGTGAAGCTCGCCAAGAATGCTTGTCTGCATGGGCTGACAAAACACATAAGGCCTAAGTGGCATTGGGTGAGGAGACTCCTTGATAAGGAGGTGCGGCTGGAGATAGTGAAGACCCATCAGCAGGCAGCAGATATTTTCACCAAGCGTCTGGCGGAGGCGGATCATTGGAAGGGCATGAAGCTTGCTGGGATGAGTGTGCATTGAGTATGCATGCTTGAGATGTGGTATGGTGGATGATGGTTGGCAGCCAGAGGGGGAGATTGTTGTGTGATGTCATCATATGCTATCACATTCTGTCTGCCTCCCATCCCATGTTTTTTCAACTTGCATGTGTGGTTTGAATGTGCAAGCATTTGTGTGTGTGTGTTCTGGAGTTTGGGAATGTGTTTTGTGTTATTTTGTTTGAGCAGGTATTTGTGATGATAGATCTTGAGAAGATCTTTCCGACGCAACAAGAATCGCTTCAATCGGAGCAAGAACGCGAAAGCTATGAAGATTCAAAGTTCATGAGCTTGCGTTACAATTGCGGCGGTTACAAAGTGAAGTTGTGGGGTGACTTTATATGGAGTTGGGACCTTTGGGGTTGGGGAAATTGTCACTCTACTGTAACAGCTGCAAATTGGTTGGGAACAACCAAGCTAGGTTGGCAAGGGTGGCCAACTTGGATGGATTGGTTGGGAAGGGACAAATGTCAAAGTTGGGGTTCCTATAGGGAGGGAATCTTTGTGCTTATGGGGTTTCCTTGGTTGGGGACTCTCTTGGGACCTTCCCTCTCATCCCTCTCTTCTATCCCAACCTTTCTCTTGCTCCTTCTAATTCCTTGTGAGATTCTTGAACTTTGATTGAACTCTTGAGATTGAGTTAAGTTCTCCTCCTACAGCTTACCCCCTAGTGCGTCGAAAGCCATAGCGTCGCGAATACTTCATCAATCAACGTGATTCAAATTGGGAACGGTAGCTGAGATCAAGAGCTACAACATATCCAAGTTTCGCGACATTCCAACGGCTAGTGTTTTGTCGACGTCGTTTCTTGTGAAGACGACTTTTCTGTCCAGAATTTCGGATTTATATTTTGAGTAATTCTAGCTCCTAAGTTCACCTAGACTCTGTCCTTAATCCTAACAAAGCAAGGAAGCTAGCGAAGCGAAGTGAAGAGAAGCTAAGCGAAGCGAACAAGAATAAGCGAAGCGAAGCGAAGCTAATCGAAGCGAAGCGAAGCGAAGATAAGAGAAGCGAACAAGAAGCTAAGCAAAGCTAATCGAAGCGAAGCGAAGCTAAGCAAAGCGAAGCGAAGCTAAGCAAAGCTAGGCGAAGCGAAGCGAAGCTAGGCGAAGCGAAGTGAAGCTAAGCGAAGATATGCGAAGCGAAGGGAAGCGAAGCTAAGCGAAGCTAAGCGAAGCTAAGCGAAGCGAAGCAAAGCTAAGCGAAGCAAAGCGAAGCAAAGCGAAGCGAAACGAAGCGGATCTAAGCGAAGCTTAGCAAAGCGAGGCGAATTTAAGCGAAGCGAAGCTAAGCGAACTGAAGCTAAGCGAATCTAAGGGAAGTGAAGCTAAACGAAGCAAAGCAAAGCAAAGCGAAGCGAAGCGAAGAGAAGCGAAGCGAAGCGAAGCTAAGCAAATCTAAGAGAAGCGAAGCGAAGCAAAGCGAAGCAAGGCAAGGCTAAGCTAAGCGAAGCTAAGCGCAGCTAAGCAAAGCTAAGCGCAGCTATGCAAAGCTAAGCGAAGCTAAGTGAAGCTAAGCAAAGCTAAGCGAAGCTAAGCGAAACTAAGCGCAGCTATGCGAAGCGAAGCGCAGCTAAGGGAAGCAAACCGAAGCTAAGCGAAGCGAGGCTAAGCAAGGCGAACACGAAGCTAAGCGAAGCTAATCGAACCGAAGCGAAGCTAAGCGAAGCGAAGCGAAGCTAATCGAAGCGAAGCAAAGCTAAACGAAGCGAAGCGAAGCAAAGCGAAGCGAAGCGAAGCTTAGCGAAGCGAACATGAAGCTAAGCAAAGCTAGGCGAAATGAAGCGAAGCTAAGCGATGCGAAGCAAAGCTAAGCGAAGCAAAGCGAAGTGAAGCGAAGCGAATCTAAGCGAAGCAAAGCAAAGCGAAGCGAAGCTAAGCGAAGCGAATTTTTAGCAAAGCGAAGTGAAGCTAAGCGAAGCTAAGCGAAGCAAAGCGAAGCGAAGCAAAGAGAAGCGAAAAGAAGCGAAGCGAAGCTAAGCGAAGCGAAGCAAGGCGAAGCTAAGCGAAGCTAAGGGAAGCGAAGCAAAGCAAATCGAAGCGAATTGAAGTGAAGCGAAGCGAAGCTAAGCAAAGCAAAGCAAAGTCAAGTAAAGCTAAGGGAAGCGAAGAAAAGCGATGCTAAGCGAAGCGAAGCGAAGCTAAACGAAGCTAAGCGAAGCGAAGCGAAGCTAAGCTAAGCTAAGCAAAGCTAAGCGAAGAGAAGCAAAGAGAAGCGAAGCGAAGAGAAGCAAAGCAAAGCTAAGGGAAGCGAAGACGAAGGTAAGCGAAGCGAAGCGAAGCAGATCGAAGCTAGGCAAAGCACAGGGAAGCTAAGCGAAGCGAAGCCAAGTGAAGCTAAGCAAAGCAAAGCGAAGCAAAGCATATCGAAGCGAAGCAAAGCGAAGAGAAGCGAAGAGAAGCGAAGTGAAGCTAAGCGAAACTAATCGAAGCGAAGCAAAGTGAAGCTTAGGGAAGCGAACCTGAAGCTAAGAGAAGCTAGGCGAAGGGAAGCGAAGCTAAGCGAAGCGAAGTAAAGAGAAGCTAAGCGAAGCGAAGATATGGGAAGCAAAGCGAAGATATGGGAAGCGAAGCGAAGCTAGGCGAACCGAAGCGAAGCTAAGCGAAACGAAGCGAAGCTAAGCGAAGCTAAGCAAAGCTAAGCGATGCGAATCTAAGCGAAGCTATGCGAAGCGAAGAGAAGCTAAGCGAAGCTAAGCGAATCTAAGCGAAGCTAAGCGAAGCGAAGCTAAGCGAAGCTTAGGGAAGCGAAGCGAAGATAAGGGAAGAGAAGCGAAGGGAAGCGAAGAGAAGCGAAGCGAAACTAAGCAAAGCTAAGCAAAGCTAAGCAAAGCGAAGCAAAGCTATGTGAAGCTAAGCGAAGCTAAGCGAAGCAAAGCGAAGAGACGCAAAGAGAAGCGAAGAGAAGAGAAGCAAAGCTAAGAGAAGCAACGCGAAGCTAAGCGCGGCTATGTGAAGCGAAGGGAAGCTAAGCATAGGTAAGCAAAGCGTAGCGAAGCTAAGGGAAGCGAAGCGACGCTAAGCGTATCTAAGCGAAGCTAAGCGAAGCAAAGCGAAGCTAAGCGTAGTTAAGCGAAGCGAAGCAAAGCGAAGCGAAGCAAAGCAAATCGAAGCGAAGCTAAGCAAAGCGAAGCAAACTGAAGCAAAGCTAAGCGAAGCGAAGCGAAGCTAAGCAAAGCGAAGCGAAGCTAAGCAAAGCGAAGCGAAGCTAAGCGAAGCTAAGTGAAGCGAAGTGAAGCTAAGCGAAGCTAAGCGAAGCGAGGCTAAGCGAAGCGAATACAAAGCTAAGCAAAGCTAATCGAAGCGAAGCTAAGCAAAGCGAACACAACTTAGCGAAGCAAAGCGAAGGTAAGCGAAGC